ACCCATTCCGTCATGTACTTTACAATCTCTGTTCTTAATTTTAATTTAATGAGATTTCTCGTAGAACGTATTTTTAGAGCGTATTTATCCATATTTAGGAAATGTCAGGCGGATGTTTGTTACGCGTTTTAACGAGGAGATACCTGAAAATATACATATTATAAAATAAATAATACAATGATATAGTCTTTAAATTAAACTTTTTTGAGGCAGAGATATTTTGGAACGCACTTTGGCATTGAAAGCACTGATTACCGTATTAAATTGAACAGACAGTAGCTGGTTATTTATTTTGCAGGTTTACGTAAAAAAAATTGGAATCAATATCTTTTTTACAAAAATAGGTGATTGTTATACGAAAAAAATATTTGTTATTATTATATTCTGATTATATGCATATACACACAGAAAAATATCATTCTACAGCCAAGAAAAGCAATTACTTATTTTATTTTATTTGTTTTAAGTAATAGTTTTCTTTAACAAAGAATATTTTCTTAATAATAGTTTTAAGATATACTTGGCACACAAGTTTTAGAAAAACTCATCATTTTATGCTCAAACAAGAATTTATTCCTCTTTCAAGAATATTATACATATATTTAAGTATATGTTTCTCTTTCACCCTATAGCCCTATATAGTAAGTAAACCGAATTCTTGTATTAATTTAATATTCTTGTTTGAAGTACTATAGACTTGCTAAGATTTAGAATATGAGTAAGTGAGATACTTGTGATGACTTTATGGTATATAGATTTGCGGATATATAAACTTATCAAATACTTTTGGAACAAATAATATTTACTTGCAGATAGTATGTGCTTTTCTGTGTGCACAATTATGCTTATTATTAATTTTATATTTGTCTGCACGGGCGAAAAATTAGAATTGAGTTTTGTGCCAGACTGGGCGGCGGACGAATCATTGCACTACCCGCTGCCCCCTCACTTAAACGTGCCGAGAGGAACGCCCGCGGGGTTTTAGCCGGTAAAAATTCGGCACTTCTCTCGTCTTTTCCCGGAGGCGAGGGGGTCTTCCCCTTCTTTTGAAAGAGCTACTGGGCAAATCGGGCTTTGGCCTGAGATCCCAGTAGTAGAAGATTTCCCCGCGTTAAAAAAAAAAGTTTTGTGCCAGACTAGAGTCAAGCTCAACAGGGTCTTCTTTCCCCGCTAATTTTTCCAAGCCCGTTCCCTTAGCAGTGATTTCGCTAGATAGTAGATAGGGACAGTGAGAATCTCATTAAATCCATGCGCGTCACTAATTAGATGACGAGGCATTTGGTTACCTTAAGAGAGTCATTTTCCCACGAAAATTGGGATCCTCTTTCTCGGAAATAAAGTTTAATATTAACCAGCAGTCTATCGCTACAATCGTACGAAGCGCAGGCGTGGGTGGAAATACACGTTCAGATATATCTACATCCGTAACCCGCTCTCTTACATAAGGATCTCGCGTTCACCACGTGTACTGGAGATCACGTTATAGCGGGCGGCCCGATAAAAGCCTTGCGTCAGGAAAGGCGCCGCGACGCGTGGACACGTGTGGATCCCTCGTAATCGCATCCGTGACTCTTTGCTCAGGCGCAGAGTGCTGCACACGAGGGAGGCGCGTGACTCGGGGCATCGCGAAACAATTCATGTAAACGGACACGCGTGTAATCGGGCACGTGAAACGCATTTGGACCGTCGCGCAGGACGATTGCGCAGGAATTCCTGCCCTCGCGCGCGCATGTCAAAGAGAAATTCGACCTAATCGCGCGTTCGTATATGAATGAATGAATAGTGGTACTCTGCAATTCAGGACGCACAGAGGACAAAAACGCCTCGGATCCGTAGCCATAGATAGTTTCGCGCGAGCTTGCCAAAGCGCACCGATGTCAGAAATGATCGAAGTCTCGGCGATTGTTCTCTTCGGCGATTCGATAACGCGTCGGAAATGTATCGCGGGATGTATCGTCGCACTTCGCCCGTCGTAAATATAACGAAATGCTTAAAAATAGTCCACCTTGCGCGGAGGAGGTGATGCGCGTTCCGCGCGAAGCGCATCTCACGCGTATAAATCAGCTCTCGTCGCGAATTTCGCGGAACTCTGAAAGTATAACCGCCCGTGAATTCGTCGGATTTTCTGGTAACTTCATGGTCAGCGCGATTCGCGCCGACGAATTCGACGCGCGGACGAACCGTTACTATCCGATTTTCGTTCGAGAGTGTTCTTCGGTAATTTCAGAAACCTTACCTGGAAGGATGCGAAATTATTTTAAGGATATCTGCGAGTATATTTACGTCTCAGAATTTTACGCATCTCGTCGACCAAGTGGATCGTTAGCGAATATTGAATCCATGCGTTCTGTTCTCTCAAATTTTCTTGGAATTTAAAATTTTTATGTTTACTTTACGTTTAAATGTTTTTCTCGTTTTCTTATTATATTTATTTCTCTGTTCGAGGTCAGCGAGTTTACGTCGCGCTGCGATTTATATATTTTTATATGCCATGTATATTTCTTCATTATTTTCGATTCAAACGCAACGCGTTCGCTCGAACGTTCCGTACAGTTTAATTCCTCGACGTATCGATTTTGATGCAGGCTCGGCGGAGAAATGACGTATGATAGCGCAACTAAGGCACTAATTATACGCTATAAACATTGCCATTATCCTGGCATAAGTGCTCCCACCTGGCCTCTGAACAATGTGACTGGACACGGAGACCTTTGCGGGATTTGTCTTGCCCAACTCGCGCGCGAGCGGTGCGGCGCGGTGGCCGGCCTAGCGAAGTGTCGCAACGCAGCCGCAAACGAGCGAAATTATCGTTAACGGTAAAACTGGCGACAGAAATATTCGCGGCGAACAGCCGGGGATCTAAAATTAATTCTCATTATCCTATACGGCCGTAGCCGTGTAATCGCCGAGAAAATTCACCGCCCCATAAAACGCGGAACATTTATATTCCCCGCGAAGTCTTCGAAGCGACGGCGCTTGCGTCATCGAGCACGAGGAGCGAGAGAAAAAAAGGAAAGACTGTAATGGTAATATAAACAGTTACTTTCCACGGCCTAGATTCGGCAAGTGCACGCGCGAACGTAATTCTAATAATTCTTCGCTATTTTATCTAACGTAATTTGTTATTACCTCGCTTTCCTTTTTCTGAATCTCTCTTCGAAGAGATTGCTGCGATTAACACACAACAGATGCACGTGACTCTGAGAAATTTAATTGAGAAGGTAAAGTTTAAGTCAGTCTAAGGAAAAAGTAATGTGTCGGGGATCTGTTTTATAATATCTTTGTATACACCGATACCAATACCAATATCAATACCAATATCAATACCAATACCAATAATATTTCCATTCTTTGTACAATATAATATTTTTGTTTTTTTATATTTAATATATTAATTAACAGATAAATTACAGCATAATATTTTTTTATGTCAGCCATGTTTGCTCTATTGATAAATATTAATCTAATATTTATTCATATCGATAGATATATCAGTCTGTAAAGGAAATTGCGTTGGCTCTCGCGCGCTCGCCGGTTTCCCAGTTAGTGCGAACGCGGTGTAGGTGATTGGCGAGCCTATTATGTCACAACTCCTAGTTGCGGTGGCAAGGTAGAGCCGGGCCGTGAACTCAAGAACACAGCCGGCGGCACGTTGCACAGGCGCACGTGACCGGTTCTCTCCGCAGGTTTTCCCTGGCGTCTCACTCCCGCCTTCTCACCGATTTTTCAGTCGGGATAAACGTGCGCTCTCTCTTTCTCTATCTTTCTCTCTCGCCATAACTCCCATGGGGAACACGCCCGTTTCCCCGACGCCTTACGCCCCGTATTATGTTCCCGCCGCGTCTCGGGGCCACCTTGCAGCCCGCGCGCTCCGATCCCCATGTTTATCTCTCGGATGCAAAATAGCAATCTGTGTTGCACCGTTATGCACGCTCACCTAGAGTAATACGATCGGAGCAACGCGGAAAGATGATATTACTTTTAATGCTCCAAAATTATTTATTCTCAGTTGTTATATAATCATCCGGGAGAGAGAGAAAGAGAGAGAGAAAGAGAATGAAAGAGCGATATTATTTTTATACCGGAATTAATGTTTCTTCGTCGAGGAAGCTTTTTAACATTTTCTCTCCATCGATAATTTTAGATGATACACGTTTTCCTGCAATTGTGTTATTTCCGCATGCTAAAATAGCCGAGCGCAAGTGTCGTACCGCCCATGCTTGCTTCATTATTCGCGCGATAATAGCGCTTCCATGTATACACAAACAGGCTCGTAGAGAGAACGCGCGCGTGTGTACGAGCACCGTTACACGGCGTAGACAATCTTATCTAAATATTTGCATGTCATTGCGGGATTTCAGTCCTCCTGCGCGAGGTAATCTCTTATTTCGATTTTATCTGCATTACGCAATCGCATTCCAGCTGTGCGCCGCTTTCTGCGGGGGCGACGCGAGAGGGTTAATTTAATTTATCCCCCCCCCCCCGACCGACGGATCCCGTTGTGTCTGATTAACTTGTATTGTGACCGTTTTAATCGGGTCCGGATGCCGAGTCGGTCTCGAAAGAGTCTTCTCGAAAGGGAAAGAAAGCTTCGTAGGAGGGAAAAAGAGAGAGAAAGGTCAATTTCGCTATATATAGAAAATTATATCTATCTGTAATAATATAAAGTTTATATTTAGATTAAATATAGGAACTTCCTGTAGCACATTTTATGCAAAATATATTATTCCTTTATTGCTTATACATTTTTCTGAAAAGAAACATACAGTGAGTACAGTTTGATTAGGATGAGAAATGTCACTTCGCTAAAATGTTTCTCTTCTACCGGTACTCATTTACATAAATTAGTAATTTGTTCAATAGTAATTACATGAAAATCGCATACATAATAATTTTTCCATTGATCGGTATTTATTACGCATAAGAGAAGTTGTGGTAAAATATATTCAAATAAATTAATGTAATATGTAAAGTTTATAATATATCATATATGATATATATATATATATATATGTTGCAGGCATAATACAAAATCAGGCATTTTACAAAAAGTCGGCGTAACGTCATGCGTGTACCTACTTATAACGCGCATCATTTAGATTTTGCTTAAATATTTGAGAAATATAAGAGTGTCAGTGCTAAGGGAAGTAATTTGCTGATATGTGTGTACAGACAGTACATATGTAGGCAAGGGAGGGACGTAGCTCCTTAAAAAACTAATCTAACTCCAAGCCCATTTCAACCAAATTTCAGTTTTAAGTTTTTAGAAATAGACTTGGAGTTAGATTTTTTTATCCGGGGGAGGAGCGGAACCACGCGCCCACGCATATATTTACAAATTGTTTTTATTATATTATGTACAAGAATCGCATTTTTCTAAACTCTTCTTATCTAAAATCATTTCTAAACTATTTCTTATCTAAAAATCTCGTTATGCCGGCTTTTTGTAAAATGCCTGATTTTGTATTATGCCTGCAACATATATATGTATATATGTATGTATGTATATACATAACTCAATATTATACATACAACGAGATTTATCATATATTAATGTATTGGCTTATTTTAACATAACTTCTTCGCGTGTGATATTAAGCGTCGTTAATTAATGTATATCACAAATTTCTTATAGGACATCCGTAATGTATTAATTATTTATGGCAATATCAGTAATTAAATTATTTATTAATTCGATTAGCATATTGTTTAAAATTCCGATAAAATCCTGCAGTCAAGTTTTTCGTGCGACGTGATTGGCGGATATTCCCGCACTTGTTATTGCAGCAATCTTCATCAGTGAAGTAAGAATCACTTTCAGAATAGTCGCATGAGGACCGCGACAAACGTCCTTAGAACACAAGAATAAATTTATAAAAGAGAGAATATCATATATATGTATATATCTATACAAAGTATCTACACTAATACATCTATACAAGAGATGTCTGTACATGAGTTAATAATTATTTAGTTAAAACATTTTTTTAATAATGGTGGTTAAAAATAATATTATTCACAATAGTTAATAGTAGTTAATAATTAGTTCCGAGTAACAGATTGGAGTAATCAAATGTTTATAGCTTTCGCAGTAAAACAAATAATTCTCAAATTACATCGTAATTAATAAAATTATATACAAAGAAGAAATTATAAAGAAGAAAAATAATGAAAATTTATACATTATTACATGGAAAGTAGTCACGATTATCGTCCATAAAAATTTAACAGCTTTAATTACAAGGAAAGCAGTTATACATGTCATGATTATCCTCCATAAAAATTTAAGGTAGTCTTTGAACGTACTTTTAGAAAATATTTCCGCTGTTTGTTTCAAATCCTGCTTATTTTTAACTGATTCCTCGATTACCGAAGACGTTCCGATATTACGAAGAAGTTGCGATAATCTTGTACTCGTTGAGGCTCTCGTTCTCTCGGATCTGTGTTTCAACTTTTTTTTCTTTGTAGTTATGAGCTCTCCACAATCCGTACAGCCCGAATTGTAGTCGTTGCTGTTACTGCTAGACGAATCAGGAAACCAGTTTTTCATGAAGTCTCCTATTAAAACAAAATTTTTGTAATAAGAATGTATGTATATATAATAATAAAATCAAAAATAACGTATAAAAGTATATTAGTACTTGAAATAAATTAATAAAAATAAATTAGCTTGAGCTATATATATCCCGAATTGAAATATTTAATATGTCTGGTTTCTGGAAGTAAAATAAATAGTCGAAAATCTATCGCGTGACAGTCATAATAGGTCGAGTGTTATAAGTTAAAAAAATGTGGATTTAAATGTACAACATGGAATTTGTGCGTAACGTACTCTCAGAAATTTCCGCCACTACGTTCTTCGGAACTTTCTTACTGCTGATCAGTTTCAGAGTTCTCACAGTTTTCGTTGTTTTTAGGTTTTTTGAAATTCTTGCCAATGTCCTCTTCTCGGTTTTTGGTACTCGTTCCTTAGGTGTATACAGCTTGACATTACGTTTTATGTAGACCGACTTACGATCGCAACTGCTGGAGGACTCGGGATAGCAGCTTTCCAAGGCTACTTCTACTACAAATTTATATAGAAGCAGTGTGTGCTATTAACAGAGTCTTATTACATTAGTCTAATGGGAAATAACCTTGTTAATTTGATATAATATGTCATGTTCTTGATTTAATAAAACAAGTATTTATTTTATTAACACTGTTATACCGGGATTGCTGATATAACAAGATTAATATCTAATTACCGGAATACCGGAAGATACTGATATAACAAAATTATTTTTCCAATTAGATTTAATGCTGTTAATACATAATTTTTTTTCGTGTATAAAGTATAATTAGATAAATTAGTTTTGATCTGCCGTATTCAATTAAACTTATATTTAATTTTTGGAGTTAAAACAGTCGAAAATCTGTCAAATTAAAGCTATGTAATCGCGGATAGTATAATTAGAAAGTATTTTAAGTAAAAGTTTTGAATTACATAGCGCTTTACGAATGTGAACGTGTAACGTACTTTTAGGGAATCTCGCCTTTTTCTTCCTTGAAATGTTCAGAGTAAATAATGAAAATGATTTCGCAGTTTTCCGACTTCCGCTGGACGTCTTCCTGAAACCGTTTGAGGATCTTACGTACAGTGGTCTGACTTTACTTGTCAACTTGCTTTTGTTCTTAACTGTATACGTATAGAGTGCGTAGTCGCATTTCGCGCAACCCGACTTGCAGCTGCAATTATCGGAGGAATACGGACAGTAGTTGACAAAGAGTTCGCCTGTTAGAAACAAATATACTTTAGACCAAACACGAAATACAAAATAATTCGGCAAATTGATCCGGATTTCTCAGAGAGATCATGCTAAACATTTGATTCTCGGAAGCGAAGTGGACAGTCGAACAATTTTTTGTCAAGTAGGAATTACGAATAATAATTACGGATGTATGGTAGACAAGTATTATGATTGAAAACTGTGGATTGAAATATCTAGACCCTAATACAACGCGAATTCGAAACATACTTTTGGATTTCGTTACGGTCTTCACTACGGAGACTTCGTTGGTTTTAGGCGATTTCGTATTCTCCTCAAATGAGTTAGATGTCTTTTTAAAAGGAACAGACACTTCAACAAAGGAAGACCCCTCGGAAGAAGAAGACACCTCAACAAAGGAAGGCCCCTCGGAAGAAAAAGACTTCTTTGCACTCGGGAATTTTTTCCTGCTCCGTCTCTTGTAGGCGCATTTCTCTCTTATTTCGGCAAAAGCTCCATAATTACACTCTTCGCAGCCACTTACGCAGTTACAACTGAGAGTTAAAAAAGACGAGTCGGCTGTCGATGGGGGTAAATAAGGCCACAAGGGTAACAAGGACGAACTCCCGGCTTCATCCTTACGTTGCTGCGTTCTCTCAGCGTTCGTCGATTCCATTTTTCTGACGTAGCATTCCCGGCGTGTTACAAATTGTGCCAAATAATTTTTGGACAATTTTCAATCCTCTGTGCTACAGTTGCGGAAAAAAATATGCCTTGAAATAATTCTGAAAAAGATGGGTAACATTTGGATGCTACAATGTTTACGTTTGCAGGTTTGAAGTAACGCGACGTATGAAACGGTTTGATCCCAAATTACTTCATATTGTTTATGCTTTATTGCGAATAATATAATTTTGTGGAACAACTATCGAAAGGAATCGAATTTTAATTGCAATAAAACTTCTCCAGCACATCACATATCGTAATTATAATATGCTAAAATACACTAAAATAGTTCCTTTTTGCAATTTTAACTGTAAAATTGTGGTAGAGCAACTTAGCAAACGGGATGGTATTCAGCGTTCAAGAAACTATTATTCTCGTTCTTGTGCTCCAAAAAAGTGATTTTTTGTTAAACAATGTTGGACATATATTCATTAAGAAACATGAGTTTACTTTTAACACGAATGGGCGCCGGATGAATTAATCAGAAGGAATTTGCTTTAAATTAAACAAGACGTAACGTTTGCTGGGAGCCATTTTTTATAATTTGAAGGCACAAACGATCGAAATAACTCTTAATTGTTTAATAACGTGTTTCTTGAGTAAAATAAAGAAAAAAAAAATAGTTTTATTTAAAATACTTAAATTGTATAAGCAATATTAAAGTATCTAAAAATAATTGTAATAAATAAATACTTAAGTCTTAAACAATAATAAAGTATCTAAAAATTATTTTAACACGAAGTAAAGTGAGACAAGGGAAACAAATACGATACGTAAACAAGATACTCGTACCTCGTGAAGAGAGTAATTTCTCTGATTTATCTATCCAACGTGTAGCACAATTTATCCGTAATATATCAGGCCTTTCGTTTCACGAAGCTCTATGACATGCAAATAAGTGTTATCACAACTGAAACGAGCGAAGCGGAATGATCTATAGACAGGCATCGGCGAAGACGAGGTGCTGGCACGGTAACGCTTGATCGCACAGTGATTCGAACTGTTTGATTCCCGTGTTTCTTACATGTGTTTGGCATCCTCACCTTTCGACATGGTATATTTACAGAGGCTATGTATCGCGTGTCGCGACAGAAACTAATGGCAATTCGGTCTCCTCTGTGTTAAATTATAAGTTTGCGTCTTAAACCTTAGACGATCTACATGTCGATTCGTGTCGGAATTTAGGATATTATTATTCTATTTATGATTTTACGTGCCGTGTAAGTCGTGTCAGTCTGCATTTCGAAATGACTGAAGAACCAGAATACCCATGTATTTAAAATTAATATAAGAATAGACATGAGAATAAACGTGGAAAGTTTCTATTCTGAAGTCCGACGTGTGAATTTAAGGTGAACTTCATTGTTCGCGTCGAGAGGAGAATACCTCGTCCAATGTGGATGTTTACGTTCCAATGGAACGCCTATGTAACGATTCTAGCTTGATAAACCGTCGATCGTTGGCCAAGAGCCACATATTACGACGATAACATCGTGATACCCCCGTCGATAGCGCCGCAAAATAGAAATATCGTGATCGTGAACGCGACGGGCGTGTGCGCGCGATACGCGGAGTTATGCCATATTACAGATCATTATGCAACGCGCGCGTATTGACGCAATTCAGATCCGATCTCGAGCACGAACCGATCCATGGGAAATCTTGAATTACACGTTTTATATATCGGCCACCACCACCGCCGCCGCCATCGCCGCCACCGCCGCTGCCGTCGTCGTCGTTGTCGTCGCTACTGAGGGAATTGAAAGGGCCGTCGTGACTGTGATTACGTTAATTTCTTCACTTATGATAATGGCACAGGGCGGCCTTGTGCTCGTAAATTTTCGTTTCATAACCGGAGGAATTACATATTGACACGGTTGGCGAGTCCGGCCGCGCCACGGAAATCACGGAATAGCTATAGATTTACATTTCGTTATGGCGCCGCGACTAACGTACAGGGTGTCGAATAATCGAACCACGGAGTGGCGAGTGATGATTTTTCGAGAAACGTGAAGGAAACTGATTGATCTTGATTTTCGAAAATCGATCTTATGCAAAAAAAAAATAGTCAATTGTAATTCTTTAAAATTAACTCGAGAGAAAGGTAATCTAAAAGAGAAGTTAATCAATCTTGATTTTCAGAAACTAATTTCTCTCCGAAAGGACAGATTAGGTAATTTTAATTCTTGATAATTAACATGTCACCGAAGATTGATCTCACTTTCTGGGAACCTACCTTCTGCTTTCGATTGTACGAAAATGCTCTCTCTCCGACATTTTGCACACTCGACGTTTCGAAAACATATACCCCGAGCGCTATTCGGGACATACAATTTCACCCGATAGCCCTGAATACGAGGGTGGCGAATGTTTACGATGTCCCGTGGGGTGCGATAGAATGGCGTGACTCAGCGGCTATGGGGGATGACGTAAGAAAATGGGGATTTCATAGTCTTCTAGCAAGGGCGGCGAGAAGCCCGAGCACTTTATCCTCTTTGTCAGTTTCTCTGTATTCTCTGTATATCTTTTATTTTTAGTTCTCTATTTATACACATGCATTAGGGAACTGAAGGAAAAAGATTGAATATATTTTTAGAATTGAACAGTAACCTTTTGGAGTCAAACGACATACGATCGTTCTTAATCCACTGCAAATGTTCCACTACAACCTCTTCATTTTTTCCAAAGAAGATATCATCCATTCAAAATACAGAGTGAAACAATAAAATAATAATAACTTTGTTGAAGTGAAAGAGATATGAGATAATATAATGTAATTAATATAACATAACAGAATAGTAATAATAATAATAATGTAACGATAAATCATACGTGGAGATACAAAACTTCGAGTAAAAGCGGTGTTATGGATTATCACGCGACGTGTCAACAGAATCGCCCGAAGAGGCGCTCGAATAAATTTGGAAAATTGTGGATGAAACATCGGCGCGCGAAATTCCATCGGGGATTAACGTCGAATGGATCGCCGAGTGAGATATACGCGAATTACCAGGCGGGAGAATCGAGGTGCGGCTGCGTTAGCTGCGAATTCTCGTTCTCGCAATTCCCGACGCGGGATCACGAGGGAACGAGGTGATTGTATGGCACTTTTCCATCTATAATACGACAAAAGTGCGCACCCGTTATGGCTCGTGACGGGACGCCTGTCGTGACTGTCGTGCTTACGCAATTGGGCTCCAGATCCGATTTAAGCGCCGGAATGTCCTTCGCGACACCCCAGACGTCAACCTCCATTCATGTCTCCCCCGCTTCGTCATCCGCAGATCGAGCCGCTACCCCGCATTGTCCGCGTTGATCCTCGACGATCTCCGTTGGAATCGACAGCGACGAGACGCGTGTCTCGTGTCAAAAATCATAGCAATCGCCTCTCGAATCCTTTTGACCGCGATAACAACGTGAAAAAAGGGTAATAATTACATATGTAGTAATGTCTAAAAGTTCCCGGCTTAAGGATAAAATGAAACAATCGTTTTTATTTTTCAATATAATTACTCTTTATTTCAATAAATTTTTTAAAACGATAAATTAATTTTTTTATATCGTAAAAAAATAGTTTAACATTGCGGAGATCACCTTTTTCATTATTTGGTAAACTTTTTCCATGCAGAAATTAGACTTTCGAACATTATTTCTTATTTTTAAGTGTTACGGATAAAAATAAGTATTTTAAGGATCAAAATTCAGAATAGTTTTTATTAGTATAGAAAAATTAATTCATCATTTTAAAAAATTTATTGATATAAAGATTGATTATATTGGAAAATGATAATAAAACTGTTTTTATTTTCTTATATTCTTAGGCTGAAAACTTAAATACCTAACTACGTATGCATAATTAAATGTATTGCATAATTTAAACAAATCTGAACATAAATCTGATATGAATAAATCTGATATATGAAATACATTATACAGAGCCTGTTATCTTTTTATCCATTGATCTTTTATAGAATGTTACGTAAGACATGACGTAACAAGAAAGAGTGAGAAATAAACCAGTTTTGTTACAATTGATGATAATAAAACGAGGACTGTTTAAATTAGTTTAAATTCATATAAATGTATTGAACGATCGTTTTACACGATCTGTTGGTAAAGCTGCGAGTTAATTTCAACGTGTATACCACTGACTCCATCTGTTGACTGTAGATGGAAATTTCAAACGTTATGTTCTGATAATTAAGCGCATATTATTATACTTATAATCAACGATAATAGCAATTGCTTTGCGTCACGTTAATTATCGCGCTCCATTAATATCGAATCATCACAACGATGAATTGAAAGAAGCATTTTTTCCCCGCGCAATCTTCAATTTAAATTTATGACAAACAAAAAAATGAATAAATTATCGTTCGCTTATTATACATTTGTGAAAAATGAAATTTGACGTAAAAATATTGGTTAAAGCTATTTAACAGTTAATTTAACAATTAACTTTCCCCCAAAATATTACACTATGACACTTTTTACAGTAACCGTCGCAGTATTTTAATTTTTGTCTCCACTTTGTGTTATATTACTGCAATAATATTTTTTTCTTACGGCATCGAAATTACGTCGCCCGCGCGGGCCGTTCACTTTCGTTTTCCGGGGTGGTTGTACCCCGTCGGATCAACAAACACTGACCGGCCGCGAGGGGTTGAAATCCTCGGCAGTGCGCAGCCGCGCTGACCGCTGTCCACTTCTCTCTTCCTTAGAATTCCCCGGATTATTCCCCTGCCATGCTTATACCCGCGTAGCGCCCAAGTGTACCACGAATACTGCTCTACTCCCGTAAAAGTGAAGCGACGCGCGTGTCAGTGCCGCAATCCCAGGCAGTAAGGGTTCCTTCCAATATTTCACGATCCACCGGCAAAATAAGGGGCTCCAGGGTGGCGAACGGCGAACCGAGTGAGTATATCGTTTCCGCGAGCGCGCTCTCCCGAGGACGAGGGTGGAGGATCCACCCTCGGGAGATCCCATGTTCTCCAGATCTCCCGAATCCGCGGTAGCGTGCTGTCGCATCTCAGTCTCGGTAGATCGGCCCTCGCGGTGGAGAAACGGCGTCACCGGAAACAGGAGAAGAAAAAAAATATAACCGGATCCCTCGACTTTTTTTTCCGTCGTAATGCGCCGAGACAGCGAGTGATTAAGGACGAGGAGTAGTAGCGAGTCGGAATAGAATCGCGGAAATAATTGATGACGCGAAGCAGGTAATTCGATCGGCCGAGCTCCACTTTGTGTCTTTGTTGGACACCTAGTGGCATGTGTAATGGAGGAATTTATTATTAATTGGACCGAGAATTGCGTGGGAGTTCTCCCGGGGAAGTTTTGCGTTAACTAAAACCCGAGAACGAAGTAAAAATCCCGCGACGAGGAAGAATCGGAAACAGTCGCAGGCTCGGCGGTTTCTCGGTACTTGAAACTTTTCGCGAGTCGATAATCGCGCGTAGCGTAAAGCGCAGACCGCGTCCGGTCGTTTATGAGAAGGGGGAAGAGCGGCGATATAGATACGATCTGCAACTTTTCTGAAGGAAGTAGAGCAAAGTCGCGGTATCGTAATTTCTGGTCTACGTCTAGTTTCCGTTCAGGCCGCTTCTACACCCCATAACTCTCGTAATTTTTTACAGATTAGCCGAAATAGTATATTGTACAACTAATGGGGAAAAGTGGTCGATTCTGAATGAGTGTGAAGTTGGTCGCACGAGCGAAGCGACCATCACACTCATTTGGGCTCAACCACTCTTCCCACGAGTTGTTCATACTATTTTTCCTAACAAGAGCGTGAAACAGGCCGCTTTTCGCGCTTGTTTTACAATTTCATTTCTCCACTAGTTGAGAAATGGCTCCATGTTTCAACGCTTACGTCATCATTGCGAAATGGATCGTTTTGCTCACTCAAAACAAGCGCGAAAAGCGGCCCATTTCACGCTCGCGTTAGGAAAAATTATTTTTTACCCTCTTGTCACTGCGACAAAACATGTGATATATTGTTCTTTTCTCGAAAAAAGAAAAATATCAAACAGTTTGCTTTCCCGCCTCTCATGACTTTAGTCTATAAATCTAGTCTAATTAAGTGATAACATGTCTGCATGTCGTTCAGATAAAGAAGCACGAAATCTTTTTCAGTTCATTCAATTGATAGGGTTATTTTTTTAATTTAAAAAGTTTATGTTAATAAGTATATATGTATTTTATACGATTTTTTATGCTCTAAGAAAAATTGTTTTTGAAAATAAATATATGACGTCGAAAATTTATCTCGGAGCGGCATTGCACTGGCATTGCAATCGTCTTCGCAGGGGGCGACGTCGCGACGCCACGTGCCTATAAAAAAATCCGCGACCTCGTCGCGCAATCCCGCTATAGAATCTGGCCGAGTGCAACAGTTGAAGTCAAGGCGAGGAGAGTTGAAAGTGTAGCCCCGTTGCGTCTCGAATCGATAGCCCGCGATTACGGGAAGGTATACGCTATACAGTACACGTAAATACGCGCCCCCCCCCCCCAACGCAGTCGGGTCGCGAGATCGGCGAAGGCTCGTCGCGCGTCGCGGAGGAGGCGATCGCGCACTCTTGATCGCAACCCTATTGTCCTCCTCCTTATTTTCTCGATCGGGGGCGGGTAATTCCGCTTGCTGACTCCGTCGCACAGCCAGTGTAGCGCGCGAATTTATTATTTAACGGGAATAATCGATGGCTTATGGATACGTGTACCCGGGGGTACGTATCCCTCGCGATAGTCGTCATTTTCGCGATGGTGACGCGCCGCGTGGCAGGGAAAGCCGCTCCTCGTCCTCGTCTGCCGCCGCGAATTGGCGGCGCGTGAAAGTCGCGAAAAATAACCCCAGGGCGGGATTAACGAAAGCGTGACCACTCGGGCCACTAGCGGGGAACCATGCTGGGGAGATTCAGGAACAGCTTCCGCTGCGGCATGCCGAAATGCCCGACTATCCGTATTCCAGGGATGGAGAAGCCGGAATCCTCCGCGGCGGCCGAGAGCGCCGAGGAGCTCGAAGATCGGGACCCCAACAACCTGAATCAGCATCTTCAGGTAAACGGAGCTGCCTCCAAGCGATCGATATATCAGAACTTGTACTTGTCTTCGCAAAATTTTGCACATTGATGAAAGTTTGATACGGTGGATTTTTTTTAATCAACGGAAATGAATGGCACGCGTCCTTGAAGTTTGTTTCTCAAATGCATGATTGTTTCATCTTCTCATCTCCTAACAAAGCACGTACCAATCTATTGCATTACACATTGCAAGTTCCAAGTTGAAACTTCCAACTTCGTTACATAATTTAATTATTAGAGAAAACGATTAATCAAGCTTTTTCTTGTTCGCACTTTTTGTATTTTTAAATTGTCGGATTTCTAAGCGACAGCGTGAAGGGAAAAAGCTGAAAGCCGCGAACCACATTTCTCCGCGAAAATAATTGAAGATCGATGGTCAACGACGTAGACTAAAAGGGCCACTTCGACCAACGCCGATTAACTTTAATCGACTCAATCAGCAGTGTCGCCAACAACAAGATATTTGTCGTTGTGTATGTCGTTCTTAACCAATCTTTTCAAACATTATACTATACTTCTCTTTAATTTGAATAAACGTGTTTCGATTTTATTTTAAAATATCTACGAAAACGTGTTTATGTAACATGGCTAGAATTATTAATTTTTTATTATTTGATGAATACGAGGGTTATGATCTTTCAATAACAAGGAATTGACGAAAACCACGTATAATCAGGCCGTTGATCGGCGTTGGTCGAAGTGACCCTAATGGGACTTTAGGCTGACTATCGCGTTGCTCACAGTTTTGCCCGCGACAAATTAATAACCGCCGCTTATCCCCCGCACGATCGTTCGCATGCATGCACCGTGTCGAATTAAATGGCGCGATTGAAGCGCGATCGATATCGATTTTACGCGAGCGTGAACGCATCGTACGCAGGTGATGTGGGACGACGTGATCGGCGAGCCGGAAGGAATTCGAAGTCCCGAATGCGCCTGGCGGCTCAGCGGCCACTGCTTCCGGCTCTCCAGGGGATGCTGCTACGTACTCCTCTCTGTTCTCATCGCGCCTCTGCTCGCCCTGTGTTTGGGTTTCACATTCGCCTGTCTCGCGTTTCAGGTGAGTCCGATAACCCACCTCACGGCGCGTCCGTGTGTTCCCTCCGATTTCTACCGATCGATTCCGGGTGTATCCCGCGTGTATCACGATTATGGCGAGTGGAAAACGTCACGCGTTGCGTGCTATAGCAAGATTGATTTAAGATCGCGGAACAGCAATTAAAACGTCATATTCATTTTCAATTTAATTAATTGGTCTTAATAAATTTAACATAAACGATTACGTTTACACAGAAAAAACAAGAATATTCCTGATTTTGAAAATATCTTTAATTTTAACGTGGAAATGAGATTATATTGCGTTAAACGAAGAAAACTTGCTTGAATAGTCATTTTATATAGTTCCAAGAAAAGAAGTAGAAATAAAAAGTTGAAATTGTTACAAGAAGAATATAGATTGTTGCGTATATACAAACAATGAATAGTTAATTTGAGTATATAAGTTTTGACACTTTCTTCTGTACATTAGATACCGATAGTTTGAAGAAATCTAATATTTATTACAGTTATAAACAAGACGGACAATTCCTTTATCCTTTTTTGAGATGCGAAATAATTATGGAAAGAATTTATATTTTCCCTCGAATTCAATTTTTCTCAAGCTTTTCCGGGAAAAATCTAAAGCAAACGGATCGCTTTTTGTTCCTTAAAATTTCGACAGTTAGTGGCTGGTCTCGTTCGACTCTCGTTAAACGATTCATATATATTCATCTACCCGTGTTATTCCTTGCAGCATATATGGTGTCTCGCACCGTGTCTGCGTGTGTGGAAGATTACGTGCGCGGCGACGCGAAATTTCTTAGCGGCGGTGACGCAGGCGATCGTACGGCCGATCATGGAGGGGTTGGGTTACCTCTGCTACAATATCCGCGTATTTAGTCAGAAGCTACCGGACGGTCCTCACCAGAAGGAGGATCTGCTGATCGTGTAATCCGGCGGTCCCAGCGGCGCCAGCGGCTTCGACGGGCGCCCCCCTTCACCGTCGAGTTCGCGTGCGGCAGCGACTTTCTGCTATCGCAGTTTCCGCATCCTTCTGAATACAAACGCGCCGCGATGCGATCGCGCAAACCGTACATGTCGGTAGTGTTATAGCGTTTAGAGTTAAGCGGCGAGAGAGGAGGCGTCTAATTAGAGATACTTGCGATACACTTGCGAGACGTCCAAATGAGGGACATATCAAAAGTGGGATACACCATAATTTTTACGTAATATCCTAATATAAACATCGAGAAAACGCGGACGGTCTAGGATAGGCGAGAAGGACACAGCGACATGCGCATCGCACATAATCGGGGCGATATATTTTTGTAGCTCATAGTTATATTGGCGCGTCAAAGAATTTTTTTCCGTTAAACTACCTGCAATATAGCGTGTAACGAGTCGCTGTTAAGTGTACTAGTGAGTGTAAAGGTCTCTCGTGCTGGCCTTGTAGGAGGTATAATATAATTTTAACTCGTGCGCATGTCTCGGGGTGGACGCAGATCGGGAGTTAAGAAGCTCGAGTAGCAGGCCAGTCGATACTTTACACGGGCCAGTCTTTTTTTGTTTACTTTTTGTCGTCCACTCGCGAATCCAAGACGAGAGAGAGGTCTTGGTGCTTCGTCAAACGAGAAGATAATTATTATCCAAATGAGAACTGATCTGAATACGCGGGCCGTCGAGCGGGATCCGTTTAGTAAAATATTAATCTAAAATTCCAATTTAATTGGGAATATAAATTATTAGGGAGAAAATGCATACGAGGAGAGAAATTATTAATAGGCATATAAATATGCAAGAGGAGTACATGTTTATTACGTCGCGTCGAAAGCAAAGAACGCAAAGAGGGAAAGATCCGTCCATTTAATTTCTGTACAATCGTACAATTAATATTAACGCAATCAATGTTTCTCGATAAAACGATAAGCGTAACACAGAGCTGTACTTTCAATACTCTATATGGCGTAAATTTGTCATCGTTACCATCCTATCATGGTTTTTCTCTGCATTCTCAGCCGCTGTAGACAATTGTAAGCGGAACATCAAGTCCCAATAACATTATTACTATATCCACTCTCTCAACCCACACCGCTCATTCCAAATATTTCAATAAACTCCAACACGTCTCGATATAGCTCAAAACAACCTCATCAATCCAATTATATAGGTATTATAGGTACTTCATATTAAATAACATATAAATTTGTAAATTGTTAGTTGTTTATAGTTATATGTCTTGCGTTACATCACACAAAATCAACACATTACATATAAGACATAAGACGCTACTATAAAATGCGTGATATACCATAAAAATACCTTTTTAAAAAAGTAAACTAAGGGCGCCAAGTGTTCACGCCCTATTATAAAGTATTTAATGCAAAAGAACTCGTTAATGAGCATTAAACATTATATTTATTATGATATTTAATTCTTTTATTATTAAAATCCCTATTATAATAAAGTATTTAATGCAAAAGAACTCGTTAATGAGCATGAAAAAATATATTTATTATGATATTTAATTCTTTTATTATTAAAATCCCTATTAAAACAATAGAATATTTTGTCTTAAAAAACTTGGCGTTGCTAAAGAAATATCCATGCAAATGTTTTATGTGCATGTGTGAAGTTCGTATGAATGAAGATCGAGTTTATAATTTAAAATATGAACAGATATATGTGCGAAGTAGAATTAAGATTTGTATAGATATTTATTTAGCAACGCCAAGTTTTTTAAGTCGAAATATTCTGTTATTGTAATAGGCATTTTGATAATAAAAGAATTTTATATATATATATATATATATATATCATGATGAACACAATTTTTCATGTTCATTAATAAGTTCTCTTGCATTAAATACTTTATTATTCTATTAAATATGACAGAAGAATTAAATTATTTATGTGCGAAAGGATTAAATTTTATAATATGTATAAAATGCTTGGCACGATGTCTGATGTCATTTATTACATCTTACTTTTATAACAAATATAGAGTAAAACAACATTGTTTCGCGCAATAGCTACGCGCAATACGCGAACACTTGGCGTCCTTTTTAAGGTGTTTCTATGGTATTTTCCACAACATCGAAACTTAGGAGCTGTACATACGAATCTTCTGTAAGAGAACTTTTGCAAATAAAATGTAGAATTTACACGAGAAAGGTACTTATCTTCCGGATTTTGCACTGCGAAGACACGAAATGTTGAGAGTCTTTATAATTCAAACAATTCAGACAATCCACCGGCGAAAGTCATATATATGTGTGCATATATATATATATATATATTGTTCATATAAACAATATTTGTTATATAAACAATAATAAGTGAAACAGAACATGATTAAGCTACCAAGATCCAGCCCGAACTTTAAGTAATTCCTTTAATTAATTATATATTTAAGTTTTTTAATTTTGAAAATTATATAAAAACAAAATATTTCATATAAAAAAATATTTTTATTTCAAAATTTTTTTATATTATATACATCTGACACAGCGATGACCGAATTGTAATTAAAGTCGCAATAATATATATACATATATCTAACTTCCTGGCCATTATAAAGATTATGGATCTCTTGATAAAAAAGTTTGGGAACCCTTACTCTAAACTCTAAAAAAGACCAACGGCCATTTAAACTTGCCTCCGAATTGTCGTGGAGTCAATCGCAGCCAACCGCTATGTAAAGTCTCACGATGCTCTCGGCAACAGCTGACTAGTCATCGACTGCTGAATAGTCGAGACCAGTCCAGGAGGTATTGAATGAAGTATTTATGTCGAGACACTTGCTCGAAGTCTTGATCGCTCGATGTAGGCGCGCCTTTAAGCGCGATTGATAAGAGAATTTTTTTTAACGAGATCAACAAAGTCAGTGTTTTGTCGCTATCATCAGTCGTTGCTCAACATGGCGAGCCACATGCAGAGATTGTTGTTGAGGACCGGCCGTTTGTGTCGCGTTAATTCCACGAGGCGTATCCTTTGAAAATCCATTAGGGACCTAACCGACCTTAGGACTCTTAGGACTCTTCGTTAGATCATGTGGTCGTATCAAAACTCGTCGTATTCGTCCTTAAATCCTGATCAGAGATCTCCGCCTCAGCCGCACTCCGAGGGAGACGTAAGTCACATTTAATTGTAAATCATATCTATAAACATCAAGCAGATAAAAAGCAGATATAGCTTCTTAATCATGATACGTGATTTGTACTGATCTATACTCTGATGATCTACAGCCTTGACGTAAAATGTAGATGGTAGCACGATGCAGAGGCGCGACTCAGTCGGTAGTTCATTCTGTCGACATTATGATTTCGCTATCTCATCTTTACTGATAACTGATAAAAGATGTTTACCGTTCTTTCGTTATATTATTATGATATTACACAACGTATGCTGTCTATATCAGGGTTAGGCGTTTATGCGTAAAATATAATAATCTACATCTACATATGTATACAATATAAACTATGTAAATAATGAATAATCTATGGAGAGGATCATTGAAGATTCATATTTCGTCAGAAATATGGAAATTTATTTATAATTTTAAACTTGGGCACAATTTTTAGGATGCTAGAAAAAATTAACAACGATTTTAAACATTTTAATTTTATATCTGCGAAAAGAGAAAATAAATATTATGTATATTGTGTGTTTTGCAACTGTAAGCTAAACAATGTACTGCTTTTTGTCGTTTAAAAGCTTATAGAGATCAGCGTAGATAATAATATTTCTATATTAATATTATGCATTTTTATGCCAGTGTGTACAATTAATAAATAAATTAAAATTGAAATGCATCTAATTTAAACTAGTCTAAAACTTTTTATTTTTGTAGGACTGTTTGCAAAAATACAGTTCAAAGAAAATCAATTAATCAATCGATTATTCAATTTATAATAATTTACATTGTTTATATTGTCTACGTAAAATATTCGTGTAAACATAATGTAAATAATCTATATATTCTCTATGAAAACGGCACAACCCTGGTCTATATAATAAATTTTGTAAAAAGTATAATTCACACACACACACACACACACAAAGAAGACATTCATTTTCGTAAAAAGAATATTCAATTGCCTTAGAAATTAATTCAGGCGGCGCGTACTTTTGATCAAAAATTTGAATTATTGAATTTCGTGGGTCAGCTGCCTTCAATTGGGAGGATCCGTTCGAGTTGGAGTCACAATTGACGCAGGACGAGATCCTGATGAGGGATCAGTTCCGTACCTACTGTCAGGAGCAGCTCCTGCCGCGCGTAATTGAAGCGAATCGCAAGGAGCATTTCGACCGGGAGATCATGAGGCAGATGGGCCAGCTTGGGGTGCTGGGCTGCACCATGAAGGGTTACGGCGCCGCCGGGGTGTCCTCGGTGGCTTACGGGCTTCTCGCCAGGGAGATCGAGAACGTCGACAGCGGGTATCGATCGGCGTTGTCGGTGCAATCCTCCCTCGCGATCGGCGCAATCTACATGTTCGGTAGCGACGCTCAGAAAGAGCGATTTCTGCCTAAAATGGGTGTGTGCAAGCGGTTTTTGGGGGTAGAATTACTCTCCCCAGTTTAATTTCTAAAACAGATTTTAGAACTTTGCACAGTAAAGTATTTAATTATTTATCTCCGAAAACTACGAAAAATAAAGCGACGGACGGAAATAAGACTTGATTTTTACTTATGAAAATTAGATCGATAACAGATTTATTAATTTAAATTAATTAATTCAAAAACATTAATATAAATTGGCTAATAAAATAAATCTAACGAAAATTAACTCCAAACGTTGGAGCCGTAAGCGATAGCTTTTTAAAGTGTATTTCAGTTTCCGGGGAAAAGATCGGTTGCTTCGGCTTGACGGAGCCCAATCACGGTAGCGATATAGGAGCGATGGAGACCCGAGCCATTTATGATTCCGACAAAAAGGTCTACAAATTGAACGGCAGCAAAACATGGTTAGTTCTAGCAAGTACTCTCTGCCGTTCAAAAAGAAAAGATATTTTCTCGCGAACGAGCATATTATAGTAGGGGAGACCGGGGTTTGTTGGCACCGTTTTCACAATTTCGACATTTGAGTTTTTAAACAACTAATTTTCATGATTAAACAGTACTAATATGATAGAGAGAACTTTTCTCTACATTTTCATGCCAAGAACGCTCCTGTATACTGTACTTATAGTTTCTTTGTAATAAGTGAAATACGGACATGCTGCATTGTTGCCAACTTGCCCCGATAGTAGGGTAAGTTAGCTATGCGACAAAAGTCCATGTTAGATTAATGAAAACGTAATAGAAACACAAAACGCGGGTAACAGATGTGTACTTCTTGATAAAGATTGTATCTTTTAAAGTTATTTTATAATGATCAATTAGCAAAATGCTGTTGCAAAAGAACAATTGTAAACTATTTTAGATGTAGCTTTCTTTAATATAAAAATATTAATATAAATATATATCTAGCTTCTGTCAGCATTGTAGGTAGCAAATCACATGCTCACACAGGTCTCGCGTGCGGCAACAACAAGTCAAGTTAAGCATGCCTTGATATGAGCCAACATACCCTATCTCTACATACGTTTCATTTCAGTCATTTTCTTACAATAAATTACTGTTGTTCCTCAATATGACATGCTGTATAGTAGTAGAAACTTTTCTTTTAACTAATAATACGTCACTTTATTTACTTCTCAAGCTGAAGAGCATTAATACGATATTTTGAAACGCTCGAAAATTTACTTGTCACCTCTTGAAATAGAGTTTTCTCTTTTTCTATTGTAATACTTGTTTGATTTAAATAAAACTTTGGGAAAAGTACCTATATCATAAAAGAAATATTTTGTGATAACTTTTCCATTATTTCTTTTGCTATAAATGCATAAAAAGGACGCATTGCCAACTTACACACGGAACATAACATTCATTAGACGTCCACACAACCTCCATAGCTCCATGCGACCTCTAACTCCACGGTGGACGTCAGATAGATCTCTAATAGAGATCCATACTGTTTCCATCATAGATATCTTCTACAAATCCATAATGGACATCCATTAGATGTCTATTATGGATGTATAATAGATTTATATACATAATGTTTCTAACAGATCAATAATTAAGTTTTATAAGTAAATTTAAATTTTTAGATAATTTAATTATTAATTTTTATACAATTTTTAGAAGTATTACGTTATATACATAAACGTCTAAAAGAGATCTATCAATACGTCTAATGGAGGTCGAATGGAGGTGTGAAATGCGGAACTATGGATGTGTAGTGGACGTCCGTGGGAAGTTACATGGATGTCTAATCTCCATGGAGGTTTTTAATCTCCATGATGGACGTCTAGTGGACGTCTATTAGAGCTTTTTGTTCTGTGTGGGAGCTATTGTCTCTTGTGCTAACGAGCCTCGATCTCCTCTACCTAGTCAAAATGTCGAATCTCGTTTAGGATCACAAACTCGCCCATCGCCGACGTGTTGATAGTATGGGCGAGATGTGATGACGGTCAGATCCGCGGGTTCATCGTCGAGAGGGAAGTTGCGGGTGATCGATTATCCACTCCAAAGATCGAGGGAAAGTTTTCTTTAAGATCGTCCATCACCGGCATGATCCTGATGGATAACGTAATCGTGCCAGAAGAAAATTTACTGAATGTTCAGGGACTCAGAGTAAGCCTGCTAATAACCAGAGAAATTTCTCCTATATATTATGCATTTTCATTTAACAATAGTCAATTGACAACTCATTACCGTTGACCGTTAATTATCGTTATTGGTTGATATTTCTAAGAATATATTAAAAAAAAGTTAATGGCTATAAAAAACGGGGTCGTCACACGCGATCGTGTTCTGCATAGCTTAGGATATCTAATAACAGAGAACTTGATAAAGGGACCGTTCAGTTGCTTAAACAACGCACGGTACGGCATCGCCTGGGGTGCGTTGGGTGCGGCGGAGGCCTGCCTGAAGATCGCCCGATCTTACACTCTAGAGAGGAAACAGTTCAAAAGACCGCTGGCGGCGAATCAGCTCGTGCAGAAGAAACTGGCGGACATGATGTGCGACATCGCGATCGGTCTTCAAGCTTGCCTGCGAGTCGGTAGACTGAAGGACGAGAACAGGTAAAATGCGCTTCAACTCGAGCGAAGAGCCGATGATCTAATCCGTTCCCGAAGACAGATAGAGTTAATGCAATATTTTACCACTCTTCTAATAGGAAGATATAATATTTTAATGTTCCCAGATCAATCATCCTTTTTTCACCCTTTTTACAGAATATCATTTACGATATTAAATTAAATATGAATATACATATAATAACATGTATACAATATATATAATAATAATGATATATATCATATAAAATTATATTTGAGTATATATTATACATGTTATATGTATATTAGCGATATAATAATATTATATATCGCTAATACATATTATACAACTATGTGCGTGCAACATGTACGCGCGCGTATAAAAAAGGCAGGAAATGATTTCATGTGCCGTAGAGCCGCGCCGGAAATGATTTCCATCATAAAGAGAAACTCGGCCGTCAAAGCGTTGGAGATCGCGCGATCCGCGCGAGATATGCTCGGCGGAAATGGGATCTCGGACGAGTACCATGTGATCAGGCACGTGATGAACTTGGAAACGGTCAACACTTACGAAGGTACGCGGAAAAACGGCGATCGTTTAGCACGAGTCGTATTTTAGTCGTTATAATCGCGGTCATTAGAGACTGTTTTTGTTTCTCCTTTTTTCTCTCTCTTTTCCACAGGTACAAACGATATTCACGCGTTGATTCTCGGGAGGGCGATCACCGGTATCGCTGCGTTCTCGGGATAAGCTGGACTCAAGTGACCGAATGATAAGACTGTCTTTGTACGTGCCACGTGGCTATCGATTTTCACGTTTATAAGCGTTCGACACGCTTATGCTGAATACAGCAGTGACAATAGTCACTGTCAATTTTTTTCCCCTCTATGATCATTAATTAATTACTTTTATAATGAGAATTTTTTTTGTACATTTTAACGCTGATGTATTAATATATATCTACTGATATATTGAACAGCTAAAAAGTATTTTTATCTCTTTTACAAAAGGTTGAGGGCCTAATAAATTTATTGCACAAGATCGATACGAAAAAAAAAATGACGATAATGGTGTCTCTCCCTTCCACTTTCCTCCGCTATTCCTCCTCGCATAACCGCGCAATCTTCTACCTCTGCATTCGGATCGCCGCAATAAGGCTTTAATCACTCGATATACTTTATTGCTCGTTTATTCTCTACTTTACGGTTTTAACAATTTCATGGTGTGTGCTCTTTCAATATACGCCGTCACTCGCTCTCTCGCTCTCGCCTTTCGTATCCCGCCGTTCACGCCGCTCTTTCATTCGTTCGCGATTAGCTATATGCACGCGTGGCTCTCTCGACGGAGAACAGAATTTGCGCGACGAAAGCGCAAATCGAAACTCTTCTGTTCTCTCTTCTCCTTTGTTCTTCGAGATCGATCCCCGGGCGTTTTTGCGATTCGCGCGATCCCGGATCGTCCTGGATCGCCCGGCCAAGATCAATTTTCATGAGGTCGCGCGTTTCAAAAGGGACGTCCTCGAGTCCCGAATAGGATTCCGTGTCAAAGCTTTAAAAAAACGCAAACTGAAAAATTAAATCGCGTGCCGAAGGCGAAACGTATTAACGGCATGCTTGTTGCGCGTGTCAGATATACGTTCGCGATTGAGATCGCGAGATCATGAAAATTGCCCCGCGTTACTGCGTCTCGAAACATTCGCCGGGAATCGAGAGAACGTCGTTGATTAGCGACACCTCCGAAGAACGCGGTCAGATTCCCGTTCAGTGGTCCAAATTAAAAAAAAAAACCGATAGGATCGATATATTTACAGATCGATCGTGCTCTTTTCCCTCGTCTTCGTGATTTTAGATTAATCAGCCGCGTAATGTACAATGCCGGCATTCCTCATTCGCGCTTTCTTTCTCTCTCGCTCACATTCTCTCACTCTCTCTCTCACGTTTAATCTAATAACTAGGTCTTCGTATAAATATAATATATATCTATATATCTATGTATAAGTGTTCAGTGCCTTTAGACTAATTTGATACTAAATGAAAATATAAAAATCTATACGTCAGAACTACGGTTGTTTATTTATTTATATACGATGTTGGGTGGCCCGATCTCGCAAATTTACGAGTGTGACTGCCATGCTACATCTCGCGATGTGATCGCAGATATTGTGTGTGTATCACAAACAAGCGCCGCCAATACGCGGCAGGAAAGTTAATTGAAATGGCTCCGTCTCCTTGTGATTTTGTTAATAATTTTCTAACTATAAATACTCTAAAAGCAAGCACAATTATCGCACCTCCTTTGCTCCGTGAAGTTTCTCGAAAATGTCTCACCACTTACAAGGTAACTAAATGACTAGAAGTAACTTTCACTAAAGAAAATTGATGTTTCCATATAAGTCATAATTTAATAGTTAATTCGTTAATTAGATTATTAATTGTTTAAATTTAAAGGCTTTTTAAAGCGCCCTGGGATAATAAACGTTGTTAAACAGAAATAAGCTTGACGGTTTGCTAGCATTTTTCACTTGTTTCGCTGCCAAATCATTTCAAATCGCCGATTATCTTTTCCCTGAAATTTCATTCTTTATTTGGACTGATTTCTGCTTGAATTTTATTGTGAAAATTTAACGAATTGATAGTTCCCTGAATATTTTCTAAGGGAATGCAATCCCTATCCGAAGCTGTAACGAACTGCCCTAAAAATTGCAGGGTATTGCAAGCGATAGAACGCGATTTCTATTGGTAGCGTTCTATCACGAAGCAGTTATCGCAGCTGCCTTCGATCGCCAACAAAATCGATCGATCCTGGACCGATCGTCTCTCTCGGACTGATTGCACACGATCCGCAATAACAACAACAAGGGCGTCAACATAAGCGACTCGAGTAATCATAAATAAATTAAGTTTAATTGCTAAGTAATAAAACGTTAATTACATATGTCAATGATAATTAATTTAAGTTTACAACACACGTTTCGTGCAAAAGTGTAAAGAACGTTTGTCTTTTTTTTCTTTTTTTTTCGTGCTACACTCAATACCATTGTTCTTCTGTTTTTTTTTCTTGTACGATTTAATGTGTATGTGTGTCGCGAGTATGTTGTGTATGTGTGTGTCCGTGTCATTTAATGATTTCTCGACTACAATAAGCTCTTGGTAAAACGTAGTAACATTGTAGTTTACAGTAGTTTACAATCGCCTCTCCCTCGCGGCCCCCGATCGCGGATGCGTATATACGTGTGTTTGTGTATGTGTGTCTATTACATAATTACACATCTCGGTATATGCCGGGATCGAACCATCGGCGCTCCCGTTTCCGCACGTTTTCTTTTTTTTTATTTTTTTTCCAGATCGTCGGAAGATCCGTTTCGCAGACGACGGCTCTTCCGCAAAAGAGGGAAGTGAGCACCACCCCCGCACCATCCCGGTCGATCCGCACATCGGCGGATTGAGCTGGAGGGAGGAGAGGAGATTTTTGCAACGCCGGGGGAATTCGCGCGCCCTTACAGTCGCGTAGTTCGATCCCGTCATTTTCACAAGTTATCGATCGTCGGCCCGTCGTCGACCGCGCAAGAAAATTCAATGGCACGAACCGCGAGCCGTCGCAACAACAGCGTCGCTCGGGCTCGTATAACCACACTTGGTTGCCTCTACTAAAACGGATATACGTAACTGTATAAATAAATTAATGACTCGCCTTCTCTCTTTCTCGCGCGCGCATACACACACACACACACACACACACACACGCACGCACGCACGCACGCACACACACACACACACACACACACACACTCACGCTCTCGCTTATTCTCGTCAATTCTGCTCTTCTTATGTACGCACACACACGCGATGGACACTCCCGATCGATCCCCGCTCTCCTGCCGACATTAACACCCCGAACCCAGATTACCTCGTTCGTAACATTGTCACCCCGATTGTCGGCGGAAATATTAAATACGCTCTTCAACCTGTCGTATTTTCTTCGGACATCCAGTTCCCACGATCATCGGATATCGTGATCGAACTACCGTGATTTATTAACTTACCGATGCGACTCGCCGGGCTTGAGGTGTTAATCGCGATTCTTCGACGGACGAAATTATCGTCGCGACAGGACCCCTTCTCTCTCTCTCTCTCGCTCTCTCGCTCTTCCTTTTCCGAGGAATAGATTATGACAACAAAGTGATGTCGACTTAACGCGCGTTTATCTCTACGTGAATCTACGTACGCTGAATCCTTCGTCCACACGCCGATCTTTTCTGAATTTCCGACCGGAGCCCCCGACACGTCGTCTTGCGCTAATCGCGACACTGTCGTCCACTCTTCCCTTTTTTTTACATCCGAAGGGTGGGCCAGCAGTCCGGCGCGCGGTTGTACGCAGCGCGAAAATCCTCGCGCGTTACAATAAATATAATAATAATAATATATACCTGCTTTTGCACTTGTATTTTACATTATTTCGTCTCTGATTAAACTAATCGATACCTTATTGTCGTACGAACTGCTTTCGTGTTTTCTTTCTTTCTCTCTTTCAGCTCTCCTTTTCGTCCCGTTCGAGAAGAAACGCCGATCCCGTGTATTTTTCCAGAAATCTCTCTCTTACTTCGTCCCGTTTCCCTCCCTCTCTGCCTCCCTCTTAGCTCGCTTCGATCGTAATTTATTTATGAAAAACCGGACGAGCCGAGATAGCGGTCACAACATAGATCGCAGCCTGCGTTGGTTCTCACTTTCTCCCTCTTTCATTCTACGGGGGTGAAAAGTTCTAGAGAGAGTGAAAAATTAGAGTCGCGTTGTCTACCCCTTCAGCCTCGAACGGACGAAAGCGACGGACTTTTCTCTCGCTCGAGTAAAGTCTCGCGTCGAGCCTCTTTGTCTCTCTGGTTTTATTTTTCCCGTCCTGTCTTTTTTTTTTCATTCCGTCACATTCCGCCGATTCTCTTACCCGCTGTCCGTGGAAAAACGAAGTGAAAATTCTCTGCGAGTGGGGTGGAAACTAGATCGATATAGACACCTAATATTGTACATGTACGTTGTCGTCGTCGATAGTTTCTAATCCACTGGATATGTGTCACGTAACGATGTAACTATCGAGACGAGCTCCTCTCAGCGCAATATATAAATAGATCATCGAATTTTACTCTTTCGCACTCTCTTTTTT